GAAGTCTAGCACCTCAAATACCACACCACCTGCCGGCCCCTCATCCGTTCTTTGATGGACATTCAGGTATGTCCTAGGGAGGTTATTTTTGTTTGTTTTTTGGCTACAAACAATGTTGTGATATGTATGTTTTGTACATATATTTATTCATCTGTTTTTGCTGTAGGGTGTGTGTGTGTGTACCAGAGGGAGAGAAAGAGAATGAAAGTGGGAAATCACCCCCTAGTGGGTATGGCCATGTTACAGTTCCTTTTCCTCCATTTTCATGTAGGGATTTTGGGCGTGTATGCACACATACCTACAGTGTTGTTCAAGCCACTGGGTCTGGGACTTGAACTGCAGAGCCATGTGGGATCTAGCATCTTAACCACTATGCCACCTGCTGACCCCATACATAACTTTTGTATACGTAACTTGTATCATAGTTTTTTTTTTTAAGTGTATTTTCTTTTTAAAGAATTGTTTTATTTAACTTTTATTTATTGACTTTAATTTGACCAGAGAGGGATAGAGAGAGAGGAAGAAAGCCACATCTGGGATTCAAACAGACAGAGAGAGACACAGAGACAGAAAGCGAGAAATCACCCCCCAGAGGTGAGTTTTAAACCACCGGGTCCAGGACGCAAACCGCAGTCGACTACATGGGAATCCAGTGACATAGCCATTACGCTAACTGCTGGTCCCCCAGTACAGATTTGTTCTTAAAAGCAGTAAGAGTGTTCTTTGTATTTTGCCAGTTTAATGGACAAGCAATATTTTCCTACATAATTTTATACTTTACATCATCTTGTTCTCTAATAGGTTCATGTACTTTTTAGTTAATACTGTCCTCCCCTTCCCTACACATTGTAAGGATCATTCTAATTTCAGAAAATTATGAAGTTTAGAGTACTCTATAAAGAAGTGATAATCTCCCCTTTCCCATTATCATTCATTTTGTGTTTATTGCATATCTTACTATTCTATTGAAATATACCAATACTGGGCTCTTTCAGAAAGGCAAGCTCTACTTTCCACATCAGTATTGCCAATTGTACTAAAAAGTCTTGTGTAAATTTCTTATCTTTAATCACTTGTGATTACTTTGTATAACTGCAGCTGCTGTTTATTAAAGCTTGTTAAACCCGTCGGCCTTTTTCCTTACCAATGTTGGAATGTCACCTAGTGGTGAAAGAGTGCAGCAGCAGGCCACATACCAAGGCAAATGCGTTGTGTAGGTCAGGCTACGTGTAATTGAACTTACCATTGGAATTATTCCACTTGTCTCATTTTAGTGGAGAAGCTGAAATAAAGACAGGTAAGGGCATTTTCATAATAGTTCATATTGAATTAATTGTCATCAAAGGACAAGAAGAACCTGAGTTTTGTGCTCTATTTTTTGTTTTGCAGGGGAGGAGGGAGTTAAATATTCTCTTGTTCCTAATATAGGGATAAGACCTGGTGTAGATACTGACTTAATACTTATACATAGATAGTTTGATAAAATAATAAACTTTGTTGTACTTGGTGCATTTAAGAGCTAGTGTCCCTCAGCTGATTTGAAATGCAGAGGAGATATAAACACCTAATTAACTATAGCTTAATAGAAATGTTATAGGAGCCTTCAGAAAAACTACTTTCTCTTGCTTGGGGCAAAATATCTGAAGAGTGAGATCCAGGCAAAAAGAATACTCTAGAGCCCCATCAGGGGTTTAGAAGGTTACTACAAGTTCAGACTCAGGGTTAGCCATACATTGTAGAATTAGTTAATACCTATATTCAATCAGCTATTCGGGGTCTTCCTTTCAGTAAAACCATTCAAAAAGCACTCAAGTCTCTTCCTCACTCCCATTCCCATCCCAGAAGTAGCCACTGTCACAGATTAATTGCTGTATTAGGTTTTTGATTATCCTAGGGATAGGTGCCAGTTTTCTCTTTTCTGAGTCATTTTAACCCTGCCAATTTTGAAATTTTGGTCTCTAGGACGTGTTTTATTACTATGTCCTGTTGCCTGCTGCAGCATTTTTTATAGTAGATTTTGAAATCTAGTATTTATAACATTTTCGTAATTCTTAAGTTTGAATGTGGAGTTTTGAAAAGTCACATGCATGAAAAGAGTTAAGGGGAAGTATGAAAGTTTTTAGAAGAAAGTAGCATGAATAATTGAAAAAGAAAATCTCTCACCTAAGTAGACAAAAATGCAAACTGTTTTGTTATATATTAATGATTTTTATACACTTTTTTATAAAGAGAAAGTAAATTAGATATTATTTATCAGTCCAAAGATAACTTTTTCCCTTTTATACTCAATATTACACAGGCAGAAAGCTGCTGTTTTGTCTAGTCTTGACAGTCTTAACTTTGTGTAGTTTTTCTAAGTAAAAGGATTGATTTAAAAAAAAAAAAAGCATGTATAACAGTGATAGAGATATATACAAGAAAGTGTAGTATGGGTTAAACTTGTTCTTTATATTGATCCTAATATAGGTAGCTATATTATCTTTCTTAAATATAACCTATTTTGTTATAACTTTCACATTGTTTTGTAAAGTATAAAAAAGTATAATTATACAAAGACTCCACTTTACAAATGTAAATACAATCTTGGTTTGGTGTATATTGGATACAATGGTCTTCCTTAAGCCTAAACACAGAAACAAAAGCATGTATTATAAGAGAAAGTCCAAGATGGGAAGTGATAAAATTGGTATTGAGTAGAGCTTTGTTAAAATTTAGCTGGTATCCTTGTAAAATTTCCATGTATTCATTGAATTATATTATGTCATTCTTATTGTTAGGAGCTGAGTTGAAGTTTGAAGTTTTGCACTCATAAAAAGTTGTCTCATTTCATTGCTGTAGTTGGAAGATTCGGATTTTTTTCCTTCCTCATACTTAAATATTTGTGTAGGTATTAAAACCGAGGTTGTTCAGGACTAGCTGGTGGAATCGTGGTTAAGGTGACTGGATCTCTCAGGACCAACTGGTTGGTTGAGTCCTGGACCTGGCAGCTTGAAAATCACTTCAGGGCATGTGTGTGCATGCCCAAACTGAGAGACTGGAGAAGGGATTAAGCCTGACCATGCCCTTAGGGGATGCTTTTTCACTTTCTGTCTCTCTCTTTCTAGGGACCGCATGTGCCCTGTAGCAAATTTTTGAAAAAATTGAGGTTATTCAGTAAGTAGAGTTAGGTTTAGGACATATTTTTATTTTAGTTACAAAAGGTAGAATTGCTTCTGAATTGTAGAAGATCTTCTGAGTTGCTATGGATGATACAAATTTGGAAATGAAATAACATTCAGAATACTAGTGCTGCTTATAGTTTAGGATCTTTTAAGTGCCCTTTGGTTATATGGTCCTTAAAAATAGGGTCACTGGTATGGCCCTATAACTTAGTGATTAAGGAAGCTGGGTCCTACATGGCCAACTACTGGTGGCTTAAAAAATCACCCTGGACTTGTGTGCATGTGTGCTCAGAATCCTAATAGGATGGAGAATTGGAGAAGGGATTGCAGTGTGGCTACACCTCATTGGGTGGCGCTTCCTTTCTCTCTCTCTCTCTCTCTCTCTACTGAGGACACATGCTGCCTGCCAATTAAGATTTAGTGTTTACTTATCATAAAAAACTGTAGAACTACAAAATATGGTGGAATGATTTCTTCTCTCAACTAACAATAGAGGGTATCCCTGAAGTCTTTAATTTTTAAAACTCTGAAAACATGTATGTTACAAACTTATAAAAAACATTATTGGAAAATTCACTCACTTAATTTTTTTTTTATTATTATTTAGTTTTGTGAATTTTTAAAAAAAGTTTCTTTATTTCTTCCATGAGAGAGAGAGAAACAAATATCCCAAGTAAGATCTTCATGCTCAAGTCTATTCGCAGCCTTAGCCAGCCACGATCAGGTTTTGGGGTGCAAACCTAGACCCTTCCCATGTACGTGCAGTTGTATTAACCACTTGTCACTATCTAACCCTTGCCCCTTTTTGACTTTACTTCCATGAGTGAAGGAGATGGATAGCACCTCTAACAGGGTCTTGATGGCATAATCCATCCTAGCCTCAGCCATCATCAGACCATGGGTTTCTGTGCACCTCATATACCCTGGGGAGTCTCAGGACATGAACCTGGAACCTTTTCATGTGGGTCAGCTTTGCAGAGCATTGTGCTACTATCCAGCCCTGTTATTATTCAAAAAATGTATTTTGAATAATACATTTTTAGTTTTTTTTTTTTTTTACTTCAGTCCTGCTAAGATGGCAAATAGCAAGTGAAATAAAACCTTTAAACTATATTCAGAATTGTTTTACTTGAAGTTTGCTTGAGTTATAAATCATTTATTTTCTAAATCAGCTTGTGAACTTTGCCTGTTTTAGAATTCTATGCACATATGTAGAATATCCTTTTTAAAAACTCAAAACTTTGCTCACTTACTGTTGCAATATTTGTATAGCTCATGAGAAAATCAGGTTTGAAGCAAAGTTGTCTTAGAGGTTTAGGGATTTCTATGCCTATGGAAGACAATTCATCTTGTTTTAGGAAATGAAATCTGACTTTTGGTCTAGGCTAAATGAAGTCTACTTTAAAAGGTTCTTAGTAATTTGAAAAAGTTAAGAAAACTTTCAACTCTTAGCATTATATTAGTTGTCATGAGATTTAATCCTGATAGCTTCACTTTGTTCTGTACTGCTTTAAAAAAAAAAAAGCCTCACGTAGCAAATCAAGCTTATTATAAATTCAAGGAAGGGTTTGGTTTAAGCACAATAGCCTATAAGCTCCTTGCTATTTAGATAACATCAAGATCCAGGCATGCACTGTGGAATTGGGACTTTAGTGCACTGGCTAGGTATTATATACTCAAATAATAAGAACTATACCAGTGACGAGTGGTAAAAGAGTCTGTCTTTTAAGAACGTAGGTGAATTAAAAAATTCTAAAAGCACTTCGGACAGAACCAAAACGGAGATACTTGGCATAACATTCTCATTTGAATGGATTTTTGTTTATTTTTATTATTAAGAGCCATCTTTTGCAAGCCCTGCTAATATCAGGAATTGGGAGGAGTGATGATATAGTGCTGCCGGTAAGAAAAATTTCTCTGTTTAATATAGTTCAGAAATAGACTTGATTAAAAACACATGTATTCCAGCAAACCTCCACAGTTCTACTTTAAGTTAGATGGATTTTTAGAGATTTGCTACTAATGCTTCTAAAGTCTAGTAAATATATGGTGGAATAGTATTTAATAGGTATCTTCATTTTGGTAAGCAGTGTATTTTGTTTGTTTTCCTTCTACAGTTATCTAGTCTGCTCTTAATCCCATTTTGTGTGTTTTTCTACCTGAAACATTGTATTTTTTATCTTCTTAGTTTTGATTTGGTTCTTTTTTAATATATCTTTCTTGTTTCTACTTAACATGTTCAATCTTTGTGCTTTTTAGATATATGGAATGCAGCAACAGCTGTTTAATGTCCCTGTCTACCAATTCTATTATTGATGTCAACTCTAGGTTCTTTTCTATAGATTGAACTTCTCATTATGTTATATGTTCTCACTTTTTTGCATACCTGTGAAGTTTTAATTGGATGTTAGGTACTGTGACTTACTGCGTATTTTATATTATATGTGTCCTGAACTTTATTTTGTTAGGCAGTTAAGTTACTGGAAAGAATTTTATTCTTCAGGTCTTATTTTTAAGCTTTTTTAAGTAGAACCAGAGCAGTTTTGGGGTAATTTTATCTTAATACTGAAATAAAAAATTTCTGAATACTTTTCTGTAAAACTTTGTGACTAATGAGTTTCCCACTGTTATCAATGGAAGCAGGCACTGTTCTCAGGTGACCTGTTGGCCCCCTACCCAGCTTTTCTGTTGTGGGTGGTTTTATTCCTTGGCCTTTGGTAGTTTCCTCACATACAAGTTCTAATCAGTACTCAGCTGAAGACTGGAAGGGCTTTGGTGTTCGTTCTTTGTGTAGATCTCTCTGGTAACCTGACTTGCAAACCTAGTTCTGTGGTGCCACTCTAGACTTCTTGGTTCTGTCTTTTCAACCAAGGGAAACAGCTGAGCTCTCCCTGCGTTCCCTGCCTTTTCTTTTTTGTGGCCTAAAGTCTTTTCCATTAATAAACTGGGGCAGTTTTAATGCTTATCTAGTTTGCTTGCCCATTCCTCACTTTCTTTCATTGCCAGCTATCCAGTTCCTTGAAAACCATTGTCATTTTTGTCCATTTTGTTGCTGTTTTAGCCAGGAGGACATATTTTATCCTTGTTACTCTGTCTTGGTCAGAAGCAGAAGTCCCTCCATATAAGAATTTGAGGTAGTTTCTCCCGTCAAAAAACATATTTTAGGTAGTACTGACGGGAAATAAGGTCACAATTGGTTATAAAAAATGACCCCAGTGAATCTTGGTTGATGATCTAGAGATTCATTCCAAAGCCTGAAGTATCACAGACTAAAGGTAAAGGACCCCAGAGTAGTATTCCCTAGTAGAGAGAGTGTAGGCCTTACGCTTTGGAGGTATATTCAAATTTGACTGTACAGTACACCTTCAGGCAGTGACAGCTGATCTTTACTATAGGAAATATTTGCTTATTCTTTCTAGTCTACCTGAGAGCCTTTGAGAGTAACTGTCACATTAAATTGTATTGATTTTGATGGATCGCAGTATAGTAAGTATGCTTTAGTCTTGTAACGCTGTCTTAGGTTGAGAAGAAATTGTTGCTAACTTGCCTAAAGGGTTTTAAATGGTAATTTGGCTTTTTTGGAGAAGTTGAACCAGATACCTTTAAGCCTTCTCTTTTTCCAAGTGTCATGCTCTCTTATTTTTATTGGCTGTTGTGCTAATGATATAACATCAGATTTCAATAATCTCATATATGGAATAGTTTTAAATTTTGTATTTTGTTTTCACTTGGCTATTACTAATACTTTGTCTCATGTAAAAATGGATATTGTTGCTATCTTGGCACAAATATAGCAAGTAATTTATTCAACAACTATTTTTGAGGGCGTACCAGGTGTCCAGCCTGCTGTGCACTGGGTAAGCGAATAGAGGGGTAGAATCTGCAGTGAAGAGGATAATACTCTCACTATTCTGCACAGGTCAGCCTGACAGAACGGTGGCCCTCAAACCTTTTGGGCTCAGACTCTTAGACATTCTTGAAAATGATCGTAAATGCTGAAGAGTTTTTGTTTATGTGATTTATACTTATTGATACTAAATTACAAGTTAGCACTCATGTTTTAAATGTTTATTCACTTATGGAAACATAACAATAACTGCATCACATATAACATTTTTCTTAAAAATACCTATTTTCTAAAAAAAATAAGGTAAGAAACTGGCATTGTTTATGTCTTGCAAATCTCTTTAGTTTGTATAATATTTGAAATATAGAAAAAAAGGAAAAATGGATTCTATAAATTTCTTCCCTGACAGGCTGGATAGAAAGTCAGAATAATCAAAAACTTGTTTAGTAGACTTAGAACACGGGGGTCAGTTAGGTGCTCTCCAGTGAGAGCACACGTGCCACATAGGCTCTTGGCCAGGGAATGCCTTTCATATAAGTGCACAATAAATATTTATTAGATGGTTAATAATCTACAGGTTTTAGGGAACCAGCAGTTAGCGTAATGGCTATGTCGCTGGACTCCCACGTAGTTGACCGTGGTTCGCATCCTGGACCCGGTGGCTTAAAACTCACGCCGGGCTGTGGGCGTGCATGCCCAAGATCCTGAGAGGAGAATGGAGAAGGGATTGCGACATGACCATCCCCCCTGGGGGGTGATTTCTCGCTTTCTGTCTCTATGTCTCTCTCTGTCTGGCAAGCGCGCGTGCCCTATAGCAAAAACCTCTCCAAAAAAAAAATAATAATAATAATAATCTACAGGTTTTGTAACTAGTTTCACCGTTGGTGCTTTACCTCTTTATTACAAGAAATAAATTGAGTTGAGTGAAGCATTTTTAGCTTGAGATGTTAAAGGAGCCTACTTATCTGAATCTGATAAATGAAAGATTGTGTAATAGTTTCTCTCACAATTTAAGTTGCACTATATCATGGCTGTTGTTGGTATAAAGTCAGTTATGAAATATATATTGTGAAAGTGAGTGATGCAGGTTTGGGAATTGGCATACCCTTGAATATGTTGTTAGAACTAGCTAGCACTTTAATGACTACTTAAATATTAATTAAACTTTGAAACATACATCACAAAAAGATCACACATTGGCAAATGTTCATCGTTTCTTTGAGAGAATCACATTTAATCAAAATATTTTAAAATAACACTGATGGTATAATAGTCAATTGATAGAATAAAGTTATATAGCTTAGTAACATATAAAATATTTCAGTAACATTTCTTTCTTTTCTTCAGTTATCTTCAACCGTTTGGGAGCACAAGACCTTTCAAACCACTGTAGATATGGATAAAGAAGAGAGGAAGACTGTCAACCAAGGTCAAGAAGATGAAATGGTAGCCAACTTTTATAACTTACTGATGAAGTATAAAAAATTTATTTCTGGGGAACCAGCAGTTAGCGTAATGGCTATGTCGCTGGACCCACGTAGTCAACCGTGGTTCGCGTCCCGGACCCGGTGGCTTAAAACTCACGCCGGGCGCATGTGCGTGTGTGCCCAAGATCCCGAGAGGAGAATGGAGGAGAAGGGATTGTGGCGTGACCATCCCCCCTGGGGGGTGATTTCTCGCTTTCTGTCATATATATTTCTATAAATTGTTCTAGAGAGTAGGGGGAAAAGGAACAACAAAAATTTGTCTCTGCAATTTGTTTTTCTAGAGAGTAGGGAAAAAACAGCAGCAGCATTATATAAATTAGTGTGAACTTTTTTCCTTATCTTGATTTTTGAATTGGACTATATAAGCTATCTCTTTGTTGGTTGTATTCCTTTTTCACTTGTGAACTCTTTTTTTTTTTGGAGAGATTTTCACTGTAGGGCGCGTGCGCTCGCCAGACAGAGAGAGAGAGAGACATAGAGACAGAAAGCGAGAAATCACCCCCCAGGGGGGATGGTCACGCCACAATCCCTTCTCCTCCATTCTCCTCTTGGGATCTTGGGCACGCACGCACACGCGCCCGGCGTGAGTTTTAAGCCACCGGATCCGGGACACGAACCGCGGTTGACTATGTGGGAGCCATTACGCTAACTGCTGGTTCCCTTCACTTGTGAACTCTTAAACTTAGGGGAAAGAAGTATGTTTTCTCACTTGGTGATTTAAGAGATTATGTTCACTAATACTTAACTATGATCGCAAATAAAGGTTTCTAATTTTGATTTTTAAAGTTAGCTTGATTAAAAACATAAGTTTTCAACTTTTTGTGTGAGGGTGGAGGCAGCGGACAAGCTGTGTCATGTAAAATAAAAGATGTTCAGTTAAATGTGAACTTCAGATTGTCTAGTCATACATTTTTAGTATAAGTATATTCCAAATATTGCATGGGACCAAAAAAATTAGTTATTTGAAATTTAAATTTAACTAGGTTTTTTGCACTTTCATTGGCTCATTTTGACAGCCCCCCCCCTTTTTTTTGAGAGATTTTTTGCTATAGGGCGCGTGCGCTCACCAGACAGACAGAGAGAGACATAGAGACAGAAAGCAAGAAATCACCCCCCAGGGGGGATGGTCACGCCGCAATCCCTTCTCCATTCTCCTCTCGGGATCTTGGGCATGCACGCACACGCACCTGGTGTGAGTTTTAAGCCACCGGGTCCGGGACGCGAACCGCGGTCGACTACGTGGGAGTCTAGCGACATAGCCATTACGCTAACTGCTGGTTCCCTTGACAGCCCTTCTTGAGGAAGAGTAGTAACTGAAGCATTTGAAATCATCTGAGTCAGGGGAGTCAAGCTGATCAGTCATAGTGGTATTGGGACATTAGCAAAATGCTTAGAAAAAAGTAGAGTTAAAACCTATCTCATCCAAATACAGTGTGGTATTTCAAATTATATTTTGGTATACAAATAAGTTGTCAGTGGAAAAACTAGTGAAATCTCTAAGACCGAGTTTAATTAATAGTAATGTAACCATGTTAATCTTTTGATTTTTGACAAAGGTACCAAGGTATTAATATTAGGAGGAACTGGAAGAAGGATGTTTAGGAACTCTAATGTTTGTAGAACTTGTCTGTAAATCCAAAATTATTCCAAAATAAAATTTATTTAAAAAGAAAAACACCTCATAACAAGATAAATTATGGAAGAATTAGAAAGTAAAATTATAAAAATTCTAGGAAAATGGACTAAATATAAGTATACTATGTCAGTGGGAAATAACTCAATATAATAAAAAATCGTAAGATGTCAATATTAACAAATTTAACTACTTTGGTAATGAACTTGTCAGAAGCAAAATTAAAGGTAAATTACGGATTGGAAAAATATTTTATGTGACAAGACAACAGTGTCTATCTGGAAAACAAAGTACTTCGGTATTTATCTGCCATATGATTTGATGATTAATCGTGTGGTCACTGTGCCCATGCAGGAGATTTATGGTTATAATCTGAGTCGCTGGAAGCTTGCCATAGTTTCTTTTGGAGTGATTTGCACTGGCGGGTTTCTCTTACTCCTCCTCTACTGGATGCCTGAGTGGCGGGTGAAAGCAACCTGTGTTAGAGCTGCAGTTAAAGACTGTGAAGTGGTGCTGCTGAGGACTACTGTAAGTCTATGTGTTCGCTTGTAGCTGTTGCTGATGATTTTAGGAGTATATCTTGTCTTTGTATACACTTTGTTCAAAATAAAATATGAAGAGAGACTAGGTGGTGGTAATACAATTGAACCCACTCAGAAGGGTCCTGAGTTTCCATCCTGGGACCTCCCTGTGCATGTCAGGCCTTTATGTCTGTGCTTTTGATCCAGACCAGCTCAGACTGGGAGTAGATAAGGCCTGAAGACTCTGGTTTGTGTGTGTGTGTGTGTGTGTGTGTGTGTGTGTGTGTGTGTCTCCCCATCTCTCTCTCTCTCAGAGAAGAAATAAACTTTTAGAAATATATACATGAAGGGAACATTGCTGCTAGATATAATGAATATGAGTTCTAGTATTACTAAAGTATCTATATAAAATGAATATTATAATGATGAGGGTGTAAAGGAATATTAAAGATGATCAAATCCATCCCCTTTTTTATTGTTCTTGATGCCCTGAGAGTTTAGATGCTTGATTCTTTAGAATGATAGCCTAGATCTCTTATTCACAAGGCCAGCTGCACATCTACTACAGATTGAACATTCTTTAGCAAAATACTTGGGATCAGAAGTGTTTCAGATTTTGGTGTATTTGCTTATACATAATGCACTACCTTGAGGATGGGACCAAGTCTAAACATGAAATTCACCTTTTTGTATTGCAACATTTTAACTCTGACCCATTGGATTTTGTAACATTTCAGATTTTAGATTTTCAGATTATGGATGCTCAATCTGTATGGAGATGCTACTGCATTTCAGGCTTTTAAAAAAATCCTAATTGGATTTTTTTTGGGGGGGGGGAGAGGTTTTTGCTATAGGGTGCGTGTGCTCGTTGGAGAGACAGAGAGACAGAAAGCGAGAAATCACCCCCCAGGGGGGATGGCCACGCTGCAATCCCTCCTCCATTCTCCTCTCAGGATCTCAGGCATGCAGGCATACATGCCCGGTGTGATTTTAAGCCACCGGGTCTGGGACTCGAACTGCGGTCAACTACAGTTGACCATTATGCGATGTAGCCATTATGCCATCTTCTGGTTCCCTTAATTGGATTTTATACGAGGTTTTTCTACCTTGTGTCAGTATGCAGAGTAAGGAATTACTCGTGATCTTTTATGGAATATTGATGTGTGTATGGCCAAAATATGTCATAAAAGTGGTGAACAATATAAAGCACTTTATATTTTAATTTACTTTTTTAGTTTTGCTATAGGGCACATGGGCTCACTAGAGAGAGATAAAGAAAAAGAAAGGAGGAAAGAGAGAAATCACTCCCCAGAGGGGATGGTCTCACCACAGTCCCTTCTCTATTGTCCTTTAGGGATTTGGGGCATGTACACACAAGTGCCTGGTGTATTTCTCAAGCTGCTAGGTCTAGGACTCCGTAGCAGTGCAGTTAGCCATGTTGGGATCCACCTTCATTAACCACTACATCACCAGTTGGCCTGCACTTCATACTTGAATTTAGACATATTTATGAAATGGTTTAATGACATTTAGTGAGAAGGATGTAATGCTTTCTTAATTAGAGATGTGTAAATAATTCATATAAAGAATGGATATTACAGGACCAACCCCATAGTGCAGTGGTTAGGTACTACCCAGAGGAAGCCAGATCCCATGTGGCTGACTAGTGGTTGAATCCCTGCCTCCCTACCCCTGTGGCTTGAAAAACACATGGGCACATTCCTGCATACCCAAGATCCTGACAGGATGAGGATTGGAGGAAAAAGGATTGCAGTGTAAATTCTTATGGGGGAGGGGTACTTTCTCTCTGTTTTGCATATCTGTCCTCTGGCATTAAAAGAAAAAAGAGGAGCCAGCAGGTGGCATGGTGATTAAGGGTGCTGGACTCCCACAGGGTGGGCCACTGTTCCAGTCCTGGACCTGGTGGCTTACTTTCTCACTTCTCTATCCCTCTCTCACTCTGTCCCTCTCTGTTCAAATTTAAATAAATAAATAAATAAATAAATAAAATAAAGTTAAATAAACTAATTTTTAAAAAAGAAGAAAGAAAATTACATAAAAATGCAAGGAGTTATGTAATGCACATAATTAACCCTCTACATTTTTTTTCTTTCTCTTTTCTAAGGACGAATTCAGAATATGGTTTTGTGCAAAAATTCGCTTTCTCTCTTTGGAAACCTACCCATTTTCCATTCCAAAGTCTGTAGCTAATAAGGTTCTGAATGGCCATGCAGTTCATTTAATCGAAAATCCAGCTGAAGAGAACAGGCGTGAGATGAATAAATATTCACAGACTCAGTCAGAACAGGTATTGTGATCTTAGTGTCAAAGTTTCTTTAAAAAGAAACCGGAATTGTTATAGTTTATGCTATTCTGTGTAATTTTGTGTTTGTAGTTATTATTATTATTGCTTGAGATAAGTTTACATGCATATAAAATACTTATTGCAATATATATCACAATTTAGGTGTTAATTGAAGAAACATTTTATGTCATAAGTGATGATATGCTTTTTGATGTGACCTTTATGTATATTCTGCAGATTCGTTATTTCACTCACCACAGTGTAAAATATTTCTGGAATGATGCAGTTCAAAATTTTGACTTCTTAAAGTAAGTATTTTTATTTTGTTTGGATTATTTATCAGTATCCTGAAAATGTTCTAGATGTTCTAGGTAGAAAAGAATCCATTCTAGTGTTACATAGAATTGAAGCTTTTGTTGTATAACTTTTATTTGTTAACAAGTCACTACCATTTAAAATTTTTAAATCCCACCTGTAACTTGTACCTTGGCCAAATGTACAAAAGAGTTAGAATTAGTATAATACTAAAATCTACTCTAAGCCTGAGTTCTTTTTATTTTCATCTCAAAGTGAATTTTGAGTACGCCTCCTAGCCTACATTTTTATCTTGGAATCTTATCTGAACTACTACTTCTAATTTGCTGATAGCTCTACCTAGTTGTACTTGAAGAATGGAATAATAAATAGAAAATTTAATTTTACTATGTGGATAAAGAATGGGATGTTGTCAAATGTGTCAAGGCTTTGGGTAGGACCAATTTATTTTTTTGGGACCAGCAATTGGCGTAATGGCTATGTTGCTGGACTCCCATGTAGTCGACCACGGTTCGAGTCCCGGACCCGGTGGCTTAAACTCACTCTGGGTGTGTGTGTGCCTAAGATCCCAAGAGGAGAAGGGATTGTGGTGTGACCATCTTCCCTGGGGGATGATTCCTCGATTTCTGTCTCTCTGTCTCTCTGTCTCTGTCTTTCTGGCAAGCACACATACCCTATAGCAAAAATCTCACCAAAAAAAAAAAAGGTTAATTGTTTCTGAAGGGTCCAAGATATATAAGTACCCAATTAATTAGGATTATATTTTATTACTATTACAGAAAATGTTATTATAAACATTAAGTGTCATTGCTTTAGAGTGCCAAAGGAATTCTTAATTCTAGCAGTGAAACCAAGAATCATGATGTGAACATTTAAAATATTCATGCCTCGAATTTTCCTTAGACATACTAAAGAATTGGAAACTTCTAGAATTAAGTGGGCATTTCGCTTGATCTAAGCCAAAAGGCCTAAAAGCAATGGCCTGGGAATTTGCACCTGCCTAGTCCTAAAGACTACTCTTGATTCAGAACCACTGCTTTAAAGAAAACTTCCAATAAATTTCATTTTGTTAATAAAGTTTTGATTTAGTGTCGGCCCGTGTTCATTTTGGAGAAGTCATCAACCTCAGTGGGAAAAAAAATGTTAAACATTTGCTGTGTGGTCCTTCCCAGCCATAGGAACTTGTAAAATTTAAACTTATTCCAGTGATAATAGTGAATTGTGGAATTTAGCTTTTCTCTATAAAAAAGTAGGAAAAGATTAGAAATAAATATGTCTAAGGTTTTTTGTTTGTTTGTTTGTTTGTTTTTGCTTTTAGAGTTCTGAGACTAGTTTCTCAGTTAAAATAAGCATAATTAAGACATTTTTGGGGAAGTAGATGTGTTAGTTGAATCCCAGTTAGACTTGTTACAGATTTCAGACATTGGTCTTCATTCATAAATTCTATACTTCTAGGTGTGCATTAGCTCAGGGAAAGTTTTGGATTGGTGCTTTTGTGGTGACAGAAGAAAATTAATAGGGTTTCTTAGTTTGAAGCTAAATTGAAAAAAAGACATTATGTAGATAAGTGGCATTCATTCATCTTTATTTTGGGATTCTCGAGTTAGTTATAGTTTAAGTGTTATTAATTATTAGCTCTTATAGCTTTGGCATAGCCTTAAAGGATAATGATATTATTATGTAAACTTGATTATTTAGCACCATCTTATCATGCAATAGATAAATTGGATAACTTAGAAGTTATCCTTTTTGTTTATCTTAAGAATTTGAGGTTTTGAAATTGTCATTGATTATCTCTAATATTTTTAAGGGTTTTTAAGAAACGTGTAACTGAAGTCACACTTCCAAAATAAGACCTATAGAAAAAAAAGTGAGGCATTAAGAAATTTGGATATTTTATACTTTGTTTAAAGTAAAAACTTTGGATTTATTTAGGGGACTGGATGAAGGTGTTTCTTGTACGTCAATTTATGAAAAGCATAGTGCAGGACTGACAAAGGGGATGCATGCCTACAGGTAATTTTTATCCAACTAAAAGTGAGATCTGTTCTCGAGACTTCCTAAATTTGATAGTTTATAGTTAACCCTTTACTATATAGTTGTACATATTAATAGGTACTTAAATATTTTCTAAAAGATATTTAATTTTTACTTACTATTTTAAATAATTTGCTATAGGGCACATGCACTCGTGAGGCAGAGAGAGACAGACAGACAGAAAGTGAGAAAGCAAGCTACCTGGTCTGAGATTTGAACTGCGGTCAGCCATGTGGGAGTCTAGCACCTTAACTACCATACTACCCGCTTGCCCTGGTATTTGAATGTTATAGACATAATAGTTTAGAACTTAACTGATATTTTATTTGGGTAAGACTGTCTTATAGGTTAAGAATTTTAAAAAATAGGACCAGTAGGCAGCATGGTGGTTAAGGCACTCTGTCCTTAATGGCCAACTGCGCAGTTCAAGTCTTGGACCTGGCAGCTTGAAAAATACACCCTAGTGTGTGTATGCCTGCCCAAAATAGGAGAGAAGAATGGAAGAGAAGGGATTGTGGCATGCCCATGGCCAACCCTTACAGGAGGTGATTTCTCATTTTCCCTCTCTCTCTCTTTTTCTTTCTCTGGCGAGCACCTGTGCCCTATAGTAAAAACAAAATAAAAAAAATAGAATTTTAAAATTGTTAAAGCTGATGATTTGAAGTTGTTTTTTGATTATTCATAAAGTAATGGTATGTCTTATAATTGATAGCATCTTTGATTTTCTGAAATATATTACTAAGAATTATAAGCATGAGCTGAGGTTTACCACAATGAAAATTTGTAAATTGGGAGATAGAATTTTTTGCATAGCACTTATTTTCCCCAAAATCATAAATATACTAGTTTATTGCATATTGTAAAGATAAATGTCATTTTCAAATTAATTTACAAATTTTGGGCCAGCTCATGGCATGGTAGTTAAGGCAGCTAGATCCATGGCCAACTGTGTAGTTCAAGTCCTGGACCTGGGGTATTGAAAAACAGTACAGGTGTGTGTGTGTGTGTGTGTGTGTGTGTGTGTGTGTGTGTGTGTATGTGCCCAAAATCCTGACAGGAGAAGAATAGAAAGGATTGTGATGTGGCCATCCCCCATCGGGGGGGGGGTGCTTTCTCACTCTTCCTTCTCCCTCTCTGTCTGTCTCTGGTGAGCACAGGTATCCTCCAGCAAATTTAAAAAGGAGGGATGGAGCTAGCAGGTGGTGTAGTAGTTAAGGCACTGGACTTGCACATGCCAACTGTGGTTTGAGTCACAGACCCATGGGCTTGAAACTCAAGCCAGGTATGTGTGTGTGCTTGCCTATAATCCTGAGAGGAGAATGGAAGAGAAGGGATTGCAGCAGGGCCTTCCCCTGGGGATGATTTCTCACTTTCTTTGTCTCCATCTCTCCATTTCTGTCCAGTGAACACATGTTCCCTATAGCAAAAATATTTCCAAAAAAAGAGGAAATTTTCTTAGATTTCTGTAGCATGTTCTTTTAGAGGGTTAGAACATAAAATTCACTCATTTAGATTTAATAAAATATTGGAAATTACTGTATCTCGTAGAAAGTGGTATTATGAGGAATTAGATGCTTTTTAAAAATAATTATTTATTTAATTTTATCCATTATTTTAATTTGATCAGAGAGAGACATGGGGGGGAGGGGAGGAAAAGTGAGAAAGCAAGCTGCTGGGGGCAGGATTTAAACCACAGTCAGCCATGTTAGAGGGAGTCCAGTGCCTCAACCACACCATACCACCTGCTGGCCCCTATAACAAGGAATTAAATAGAAGGATTTAAGCACTGTTTTAAAAGCACTGTTTTCTACAAGTCACATGTACAATGTTTTGGAGTAAATATTCATTGTACAATATTCTTACTGGGAAATTAATATAGGACCCCGAAAATTTATTCACTCTCTTGCAAAAATTTTTGTAATTCAAAATTGTTAAGATCTGTTATGTTCAGAAGTGGAGAAAAGAGTCTTTTGCTCACCTCGTTATTGTAGAGTAGTGAGATAGTTATCACATGTGAAGATGTGAGGCAAAGCAAAGTAAAATGCTAATAGTGTAATTATCCAGTGTTGACGTCTTTGTTTTAAATAGTTTAGGTAGAGAATTTGAATTGTAGAAAACAATATTTTGAAACATGAATTTAAGAGCAGTTTGTGGTTTGAATCTTATCTAATGCAATGCTGTTCCTAAGTTATCCTGTTATAACATGATAATCTCATTATATTTCCCTGTTATAGAAAATTGCTTTATGGAGTAAATGAGATTGCTGTGAAAGTGCCTTCTGTCTTTAAGCTTCTAATTAAAGAGGTAAGACCATTATATATAACTCAACATTTGTGATCAGTAGATTTGTCAGTTAGGAGAAAGTCATGATTAAGTAATAAGCTATTCATGGTTTTCTGTTCCCTAACTTTTCTTTGCTTATTATTTTACTGAGAAGGTAAAGAGAGAGAAAGCAAAAGAAATTTTCTTTTACCTGATGGAAAAAGAATTGTGGGTATAAGTTATGGTTTATTTTGTCTAGTTTTCCATTTATTTATTCATTTATGTGTTCTGAGGAAGTTGCACATCTAAGTCCCTATTTTACGAATGTTTACACCTGTCTTTTCTACTTCTTTTTTAAAAAAAATGATTTCTTCTTTACATGATATCTTATATTGCAGGTATTAGAGACTAGGCATTGTACTAGGAAATTTGGAATATGAAACATGACATGATTGACCTTTGAAGAGCTTACATTGTAGTCTGGAAGAAAACAAATCAGTAGTTAGAACAGTGACTGTTCTCTTGTAAGAATTATACGTATATGTGAATAAAAGATAGTGGCAAGGAAAGGAAGGGAATTAGTGCTTTGTCTAGCAGAGTTAGGCTTCTTTATCTTTATTCTGGTTTTTGGCTAAAGAGCAAAGGTTAGTTGTATTGGGTGAATGCTTATAGTAGAAATAAAACTATTTTCCATAGATTCCTGAGAGAGGTCATATAGTGCTACTTATAAACATAGCATAGTGTAGATTAGGATTAGAAATGCTGATTTGTAACATGGTTCCATCAGTAACTAGCTTTGATCTTTAGGAAACCCTTCTGCTGCTGCTTTATCTCATGAAGTAAATTGGAATAAGTCCTTTCTAATTACTCATTTGCTTTTGAAGTAAAATGGGGTTATACATGTGAAAATGCTTTGAAAAGTACAGTAGTATTGATTTTAAGACATAAAAAAAATTTTATAAAAGACCATGAAATTTGGTAAATGAAGTTCACTGCCAGGGTTCCCTTATGTTACTCATTCAGGATTTAATTCCTAATTATTTCCTCAGAGAAAGGAAAACAGTGTAAGCCATTATCTCCTATACATATTCCCTTTGGAGTCCAGTAAGCTTTCTTTTCTTTTTTTTTTTTTTTTTTTTTTTTAACCGTAGGGTGTGTATGCTCAGCAGAGAAAAAGACAGTGAGAGGAAAAATGAGAAATCACCCCTGTAGGGGGGATGGTCATGCCTTTTCCTCCATTCTTCTCTTAGGATACTGAGCATGCATGCATAGGCATCTGGCATAATTTTCAAGCTACTGGGTCTGGGACTCAAACCAGGGTTGGCCGTGTGGGAGTCCAGCACTTAATCACACTACCTCCTGGCCCCCTTTGTTGTATTTTATTTATTTACTTCTTGAGAGGGAACACCAGGCACTCCTGACAAGGTGTTGAGGCTGTGATCCACTCCTACCTTCCGACTGTCCTGATCATGGCCACACTTGTGCTTGGTCTTCTCAGGAAGGTCTTTGGACACAAGCCAGCAACCTTTGGGTCTGCTTGTCAGAGTGTTGCTGTCTGGCCCTCATTCGTTCCATCTTATTCAATGTTTTATATCTTTCACTAGTCAGAGCACAGTAATTATTAGAAATAAATGCATTTTATTGCAAAAGCAGAATATGAAACAGCAAATAGGTTAGCTTTTCCTAGTTGAATCTATGTATAATGGAGTTTGGTCTAAATGAATGCAAATAATTTAAGTAAAGTTTATTTAGCCAAATGTTAGTCAGTTAGTGGTAAACAAGAATATGCCAACATACTGCCCTGCTCTGGAGTAGTGCACGTTGTCTTAGGGTACCATAAAGCCTATCTCATAAGTGTTACTTTTCAAATAACAAAGGTGGAGAATCTACATGTTTATAAATATGTCACTCAATTTGACTTAAAAATTCTGTTTTTTTAGGTTCTCAACCCATTTTACATTTTCCAGCTGTTCAGTGTTATACTGTGGTGCACTGATGAATACTATTACTATGCTCTAGCTATTGTGATTATGTCTGTAGTATCAATTATAAGCTCACTATATTCCATTAGAAAGGTAAGTCCAAATTTACTATGCATTTCACAACTGTTTGTATTTTGTAATATGTAAGGTGTGTGGAATGAATAAATAAATAAATAAATAAATAAAGTTAAATAAAATAATTTGGTACAAAGTAAATACTTCACAGAGTTATTATTTTAGTTGTGTGAATATATACGTCCTGGACTAGTCTGACCTAGTGGTTGAGCCAGATTCCATATGGTTAACCTCATGATTTGAGTCCTGGACTTGGTGACTTAACACACCAGGCGCATATATGTATGTGTTCCAAATCCTGACAGAACAGTAGGAAAGGGACTGTAGTATGACCTTCTCCCTGTCCCTCTCTGGTAGATGCATGTACCACTGGCAAATAGAAAGGGAGAAAAGAGTGTGTGTGTGTGTGTGTGTGTGTGTGTGTGTGTTTGTGTGTGTGTGTTTGGGTAAGGCAGATGCTTTATTTTTAATTTTTTTAGTAATGAAGATAGAAGTTTATTTGAAAGCTTACTGTTAAGGTGCCTGGAAAGTCCAACACCCTGAGCCTTCGGCATGCCTAACAGATGTACAGAGGGCAGGCACCCCCAGAGAAAGAGCAAACACAGATGCTGTTTGAGAGACGTTTTTTTCTTTTCTTAATGTAATAGTGTTATAGTCTGTATTCCTTATCATCAGAAAATTTGGATAGATTGCTTAACTTTGCTAAGCATCAGTGTACTTGTTTATTAAATGGGAATAAAACAGAACATGCCTTACTGCATTTATTGTGAGGCTATAAAATGATCAAAAATAAGTCACTTGGCACTATGCTTTGCACATACACATTTAAAAACATATGAACTATTAACATCACTTACTATTGTTGAGAGACTTCTTTTTGACTGCTTGGAGGCCATAGGGATCTATAGGTGCTTATCACAGACTGAAATACTAGAAGTTTGGTTCTACCAAACTAAAAAGTGACTTTTTTTTTTTTTTTAACTGTCTTGTTAAAGTGCTTCCTATTTTGTCCTAAGGTAAAACAGTGAATAATCTTTGATTTTGGCTATTTTATAAAGGTAGACCAATATGCATTTATTATATTAACTTCCCTTATTTTTAGCATCCTTGTTTTTAGTATCCTGAATGAGTTTATATTGACTAGATTTTAATTTCTTTTTCTTCTTCCAGCAATATGTTATGTTGCATGACATGGTGGCAACTCACAGTACTGTGAGAGTTTCAGTTTGTAGAGTAAATGAAGGTAAGTGACTATTGGAAGAATAAACCAAAAAGATCATTACTAAGCATTAATATAGGAAGTAAACCCAGTATATTTTGCATATATTTAAAATTTTTTTTTAAGTTTTTGCCATAGGGCAGGTGCAGTCATGAGGGGTGGGGAAGGGAAGAGATGGTGAGAAATCACCCCCCACAGGGGACAGTCATACGCAATCTTGTCTTCTCTTGGGATTTTGGGCATGCACACACATGTGCCTGGTGTGATTTTCAAGCCACTAGGTCCAGGACTCAAACTGGGTCAGCCTTGTTGGGAGTCCAGCCCTTTTTTTTCTTTTTAAAGAATTATTTTATTTAACTTTATTTATTTACTTTTTTTTTTTCCCCTTAAATTTGACCAGAGAGGAACAGAGTGAGAGAGAGGAAAAGTGAGAAAGCATGCTACCATGTGGGAGTCCAACACCCTTAACCACCATGCCACCTGCCAGCCCTTAAGAACTAAAATATACATTGGAATTCCTGGGTTTGTGTCAGATTTATATAAAATTGTATTTTTCTTTTTTGCAGTGTGACAAGTACTTATGGTAGGCTCTAGACATTCAGTCTGGTTGGAAAGACAATGACACACAGTAATAATAAAGATGTGACAGATGCTATGATAGAGAAAGGTTAGGGACCTTTATTAGGAAGAACTCATTTACCGCGTGCATCAGGGATGGCTTT